ATTTTCCGGTTATTGAAATTTTCGACTTTTTTAGTTTTTTAAATGTTCAATTTTTTAATGCGCCAGTTTTTCGATTTTTCTAATTTTCGACTGTCGGATCTCACTTTTTCCCGGCTTTTGGAATCTTCAACTCTTCAATTTTCCAATTTTTCGGTTTTCAAGTTTTCGATTTTTTGATTTCTCGATTTCTGTCCTTTTTTCGATTTTCGAAACATCAAATTTCATTTCCGATTTTTCAATTTTTCGTTTCTCGACTATTAAATTTTGAGGTTTTTCAATATCTGGATTTTTCAACTAACCGAATTTTTGTTTTTTCTATTCCGCGACGTCGATTTTTCAACAAATTTTCCAATTATTCAAAACTCCGATTTTTTGTTTCTCGATTTTTCGATATTTCAACTTTTCAAAATGTCGAAAAATGGACAGATTGAAAAATCGAGAAATTAAAATTTGTGATTTTTCAGTTTCTCAATTTTTCGAGTTTTAAATTTTGCGGTTTTTCAGTTTCTGGATTTTTTGACTCCGATTTTTGTATTTCATGACCTGGATTTTTCGATTAGTCAAATTTTTTTCGATTTTTCAATAATTAGATTTTTCAGTTTCTTGAATTTTTAATGTTTTTTAATGTGTAAATTTCTCGACTGTTGGATCTTGGGTTTTTCGAATTTTTGAGTATTCGATTTTTCAATTTTTTCGATTTTCGAATTCTTCGACTTTTTCGATTTTTCAAGTTTTCGATTTTTTCATTTCTCGATATCTGTGTTTTTTCCGTTTTCCGAAATATCAAATTTCGATTTTCAGAGTTTTTGTTTTTTCGATTTCTCGATTTTTTTATTTTTCGGTTCGTCGGTTTTTCATTTTTTACATTTTTTTTACCGGAAGGTCGAAAAATCGAGAGATTGAAAAATCGAAAAATACGGAAATTGAAAAACCACAAAATTTAAAAATTAAAAAACTGAAATTTGCAATTTTTCAATTTCTCAACTTTTTTAAGTTTTAAGTCTTGCGGTTTTTCAATTTCTGGATTTTTTGATTAATCTACTTTTCTTTTTTTGTGTGTCTCGACCTCGATTTTTCGATTTCTCTATTTTTCAATTATTCAAAACTCCGATTTTTCTGTTTCTCGATTTTCCACTTTTTCGATTACTGGATTTTATTAATCATTTTATCGATTTTTCAATTTTTCGCTTTTCCAATTTTTTGACTTTTCGATTTCATGATTTATGATTTTTTCGATTTTTCGGGTTTGCAGTAGTTCTTCGATTTTTCAATTTTTCGATATTTCAATTTTCCAAAAAGTCGAAAAATGGACAGATTGAAAATCGAAGTCGAAAAATCGAAAAATCGAGCAATGAAAAACGGCAGAAACATAAACATGAAAAAACCGAGAAGTTGAAATTTGTGATTTTTCATTTTCTCAGTTTATCAAGTTTTTAAATTTTGCGGTTTTTCAGTTTCTGGATTTTTAGACTCCGATTTTTGTTCTCGACCTGGATTTTCCAGTTATTCAAATTTTCGACTTTTTTTGTTTCTTGAATTTACATTTTTTTAATGTGTCAGTTTTCCGATTTTTCTATTTTTCGACTGTCGGATCCAACGTTTTTCCGGCTTTTCGAATTTTCGACCCTGCGATTTTCCAATTTCTCGGTTTTAAATTTTTTCGATTTTCGAAATCTTCAACGTTTCGATTTCCCGATTTTTCAAGTTTTCGATTTTTTGATTTCGATTTCTGTACTTTTTTCGATTTCCTGAAATATCAAATTTCATTTCCGATTTTTCAATTTTTCGGTTCTTCGGTTTTTCAATTTTTAAATTGTTTTAATTTACCCAAAGTTCGAAAAATCGGGAGATTGAAAAATCGAAAAATCCGGAAATTCAAAAACCACAAAACTTAAAAATTAAAAAATCGAGAAACTGAAATTTGCAATTTTTCGATTTTTCGACTTTTTTGGTTTTTCAATTTCTGACTTCGATTAACCGACTTTTCGTTTTTTCAATTTTCCGGTTCTTCGGTTTTCAATTTTTAGATTTTTTTTAATTTACCGAAAGGTCGAAAAATTCGAAAATTGAAAAACCACAAAATTCAGAAATTAGGAAATCGAGGAAATGAGATTTGCAATTTTTCAATTTCTCGACTTTTTTGAGTTTTAAATTTTAAATTTTGCGGGTTTTCAATTTTTGGGATTTTTAGATTTCTCTCTTTTTCAGTTATTCAAAATTCCTACTCGATTTTTCCATTTTTCGATATTTCAATTTTTCAAAAAATCGAAAAATGGACAGAGTGAAAAATCCAAAATTCCAGCAATTAAAAACCGCAAAACATAAAAATGTAAGATCCAGAAATTAAAATTGGTGATTTTTCAGTTTCTCAATTTTTCGAGTTTCAAATTTTGCGGTTTTTCAGTTTCTGGATTTTTCGACTCCGATTTTTGTGTTTCTCGACCTGTATTTTTCGATTATCCAAATTTTCGATCTTTCAATTTTTAGATTTTTCAGTTTCTTGAATTTTCAGTTTTTTAATAAGTGATTTTCTCTACTGTTGGAACTTGGGTTTTTCGAATTTTTGAGTATTCGTTTTTTCAATTTTTTCGATTTTCGAATTCATCGACTCTTCGAGTTGGATTTCACGATTTCTGTGTTTTTTCCGTTTTCCGAAATATCAAATTTCGGTTTTCAGAGTTTTCGTTTTTCCGATTTTTCGATTTTTCAATTTTTCGATTCTTTGGTTTTTCAATTTTTAGTCTTTTTTAATTTACCGACAGGTCGAAAAATCGAGTTTCAATATTTTGGTTTTCAGAGTTTTCGTTTTTCCGATTTTTCGATCTTTCAATTTTTCGGTTCTTTCGAGAGATTGAAAAATCGAAAAATCCGGAAGTTCAAAAACCACAAAACTTAAAAATTAAGAAATCGAGAAACTGAAATTTGCAATTTCTATATTTCTCGACTTTTTTAAGTTTTAAGTTTTAAATTTTGCGGTTTTTCAATTTTTGGATTTTTCGATTGACCGACTTTTCGTTTTTTTTATTTCGCGACCTCGATTTTTCGACTTTTCTATTTTTCAATTATTAAAACTCCGACTATTCTGTTTCTCGATTTTTCAACTTTTCGATATTTCAATTTTTCAAAAAGTCGAAAAATGGGCAGATTGAAAAATCGAGTTCGAAAAATCGAAAACCCAGCAAATAAAAATTTTTCAGTTTCTCGATTTTTCGAGTTTTAAATTTTGCGGTTTTTCATTTTCTGGATTTTTCGATGCCGATTTTTGTATTTCTCGACCTGAATTTTTCGATTATTCAAAATTTCGATTTCTGAATTTTTATATTTTTCAATTTCTTGAATTTTCAGTTTTTAATGTGTAAATTTCTCGACTGTTCTTGTTCTCTAATTTAACGAAAGGTGGAAAAAAATCGAGAGATTGAAAAATTGAAAAATCCGGACATTGAAAAACCACAAAATTTGAAAATTGATAAATCGAGAAACTGAAATTTGCAATTTTTCCCGTTCTCAATTTTTCAAATTTTAAGTTTTTACTTTTCCAAAGTAAAACACTAAAGGCCATCGAGATTTTTCAAATAGTTCCAAAATAAAAAATGAAACCGGAAATTTTTTCAAAGAAAAAAACACTAGGGATCCCTGAGATTTTTCCAAAAATAAAAACTAGGGGCCAGTGAGAATTTTTCAAATTTTTAAATTGTGGCCCCGAGATTCTTCCAAATACTTAGAAAATATAATATCAAGAGATTCCGATATTCTTTAGATTCTGCAAAAAATAAACATAGATCCTTTAAAATTTAAAGAAAAAGAGGATTCTTTCAAATTCTTTCGAAAACGAAACACTACAAATCTCTGAGATTCTTACTAAACAAAAAAAACCACTAGAACACCAGGGTCCACCGACAATTTTTTAAATTCTTCCAAAATAAAACACTTGGGTCCTTCGAAATTCTTTCAAATTTTCCAAAAAAAATATATAAGTATGAGAGGCCTTCCAGATTCTCCCAAATTCTGGCGAAAGCTAAACACCAGGGATTCCCGAGATTCTTAGATTATTACAAATTAAAATGAAAAGTCCTAAGGGTCCCTAAGGTTTTTTCAAATTTTATAGGCCGTCCAAATTTTTTCATTTTTTTTTTCTGAAACCGCTAGGGGACCTCGAAATTTTTTCAAATTTTTCCAAAAAAAAAAAAACGTTATGGGCGTATTGGACCTTGAATTTTTTTTTTCAGATTAACACTTGGGTCCTCCGAAATTCTTTCAAATTTTTCAAAAAAAAAAAACATTAGAGGCAGCCTAGATTCTTTCAAGTTCTGCCGAAAACTAAACACCAGGTTTTTCCAAATTTTTTCAAAAAAAAAGTGAAAGCTGTCGAGATTTTTTCAAATTCTTCCGAAAATAAAATACCAGGGGTTTTTCAAAAATAAAGCACGAGAACCACCAAGAATTTTTTAAATTCTTTCAAAATAGAACACTTGGATCCCCGATATTATTTCACTCATCAAAAAAAACCCACACACATACTTGATATTTTTTCAAATTTTTCCAATAAAAGTGCCCTTTTTTCCAAAATAAAACACCGTTATCCCTGAAACATTTGTTAGAAAGGAAAGAAAATTCCCTGAAAGTGAAAATGTCAAAGTTCTTATTTTCCTTTCCTACGTATTACTAAACCCTAAAGATGAAGTTAGTTGTAACTTAAAGTAACAATCCTTGGAAGTAAAATTTCTCTTTTCTCGTAGGAACGATAACTTTTGCCGCGACTCCTTGATCCTGTTCTACATTTAACCCGGTCATAGAACGTCATTACCATTCATATCCACTTTGGTGAAGATTTATCCGAGAAAACTTTCCCCCATTAATCAATGTTATTAAAATACACATGAAATACCGAAACATAAACATCCGAAGCTTTTCGTCGCGAATCTCCTCTCCCTCTCACGTATGCCAGACCGTTCTAGCTTCGGCCTCCTCTCGAAATAACTCACCGGAGATAAATTTCTTACCTGCAATGTAGAAGTAGCTGCTCTCATTTCTCAAATTATGAATGATGGGCTGAACGCTGTCGTACGTGATGGTTTCAAGGTTGTTAGAGCGTAGATCTAGATGGATAATAGTGGGAACGCCTCCCAGAAGCCCACCCGACAACACCGCCAGCCGGTTGTGGCTCAGAGTGAGCTTCCTCAGATGGTTGAGTCCGGCGAAAGCACGATTCGCTATTAATTCTATCTGATTATGCTCCAGATTGAGTTCCTGCAATAAATAAACCCCTCAATCGATACAGAATTTAAAACACCTACATACTAGAGCCGCTTTAATTTTAAATAAAAATCTAATCTGGCGTTTCATTCATAGCGCGCATGCCGCCTTGTAAAAACGTGCTTTACTGGCTTATAAAAATAATATTGATGGCGAATCCAGATTAATGGTGCGTGTCCCGGACCCATATTTTTTTTTTTCGAACCGGCCGGTTGTTAATTAAGATATTATTATGTTATAAATTTAGATCGGCGTTTGTAACGATAAAATAAAACGGCTCAATTTTCAATTAAATTAATACCGCTTTTCCGTAAAACAATCAATTGGTTCAACATTGCGGCAACAAAATCTAACTACGTTTCGAGTTTGTAAATACAGATTAAATATTGATTTTGATTTAAAACTATTCATGCGACACGAAGGTTTTAATCTGATTGCCGTATATATATTTCCAGCAATATTTTCATAAATCCGATGCAAGATTAATGAACGGACGCTAAAGCTTTTAATTAACTTGCATTACTATGTAATTTACGTGTTGAAAGTGCTTTTATTTTAATTTTTCGACTGAAAGCGGAATGTTTTACTGAGGGACGGATTCGTCTGCGAAATTTCTCAAACTTAGTTGTAGTGATGAAGAAATAGCACCTTGTTTCCATCGCACCTCGCTTTGGCCATGTTTCCATTGAATTCCCCGTCGCGGCGCTCGCAAATTCCATAAATTTCATAAAATCTCGCAGCGAAAGTACACAATTCCGTCCTAAATTATTACGCAACAAATTTAACAATCTCTTTGACTCCGTACTAAAAGCGTAATAAGATTGCAAAAACAATGAGCAGCAAGTATGTTTTAATATTCATTTAAGTCTAGCATCGAAAACAAGATTTCAAAGGTGAGGTGTACAAAAATTTGCTACCCTGTAGAAATATTGCGATTTTAATGCTTTGTACAGGTTTGTACCGCTGACAGCAACGTTCGTTCGTTCAAATCGACAATCATGTTTAGCTTTAAAACAAAAACAAGCTCTTTTGTATTCCTCTTTTGCGTTTTCAAATATTTTAACGTGGCCAGTGCTGCTTGTCATATCAAACAGAAAAAATACATCGGAATAAATAACATCGCGTTGCGAAAATACCTTGTAAAAGGAAGCGAAAAATCAAGCTGTAGAAGAATTCCGTCTGGGTGTATAAATAATCACCGGAGTTAGTAAATAAACGAGCTCGAAAAACCATCAATAATCCCAAATTCTAAATAAATGTTAACAATGTGAGCTTACGAGCTTCCATTGTGTGCATATTTCAACGCGAACTATAGCTCTCCACTGGAATATTTTTCGAATTATCGTTCCCGTATTTGCACAATAAAATTTAAAATTAACGCCGGCGTTATCATTTATTAAAATTTTGCATAATTGTTTAACCGCCACGCTGCGCAAACAATAAAATATTGAACAGTATTTCGACCTGTCCGACAACCCCCCCTCCAAAGAACGAACATTTAAATATTCAACCCCCGAATGTTGTCGAACACACTACTCCCCATTCAACTCGTCGACAATTCTGGTGTTGCGAACTGGGAACTTGACTTAATTTCAACCACAATGTGACAACCACAAACCCATAAACTATCCAACTTTCACAAACGTATCATCCTTTGTATTTCGTACATGCACATTCGAAAACAGACCGTAATTAAAATCGTCTTATCTACAATAGGGAACGCGGCTCAACTTTCCAAGAAAGAATTCTCATACATGACAGAGCCGGTTTTATGGCCGAATATGTATATTCAGAGTTAAGAGGTTGAAAAAACATATCGGTCGGATTAGCACCCGCTTTAATTTATTCGCGTGAATGGATTAAGGGATTATCGGGAATGGCGTCGCTTGGATTTGGTGGTGGACGGAGGGCATCTAGTTTGGATTTTATTTTGTTTTTTAATGTATTAGGGCCGTAAGTGCGGCGACCGGGTTTCGCGTGACAGCAGAATGGTGCAGGCGCCAGAAAAATCGTTTGCTTTGTTTTACTGATAAGTCAATTTCCCCCATGAGTAACGGGGAGAGTTTGTTTTGTTGTGTAACGATAAGTCGCAACGGTTGTGCTGCAAGCTTAAATCAAATTCGGGGAGTAGAGGTGAAAAATTTCAGTTTGGATGGCTCCGGGGACGTTTTTAATCAAGTTTACTAGCGTGGCGAGAACTAGTTTCGAGAAAAACGCGAACTGAGCACGGATTCGTGATGCCGAGAAAATTTCTGATAAGATTGGGTTTTTTCAGAAATTAATTAGGCAAATTTTAATTTTGAGTAAAGATGGTGGAGGCGCCGGGATAATATATAATAATAAAGAAATTATAGAAGAATTTTGTAAGAATTTTTACGCCAAAGACTAATTTTAGAAGCAAATGCAAAATTAGACCGAGATAAATGAGCTAGTTTTCGAATCGATGTTAAAAAAAATATTTTTTGTAAAACACCCCGTTTTTTTTTAATATTCGATGAGATACTAGAAAAATAAACCCAAATTCCTGCTCCTGAGTCAACTTACTGTAAGAATGGCCTTTTTCTGAATTAGTTATATAAATTTTATTTTTGTGTAAAAATGGTGGAGGCGCCGGGATAATATGGAATTAAAAAACATACGAATTTTGTAAGAAATTCGTACGTCAAAGACTATATTTTAGAATCAAGTGGTGTATTTCCTCACCTATTCTGATTTTTAGAAAAAAGTGTGAAGCAAGTACAAATTTGAGCCAAAATAAATCAGCAAATTTTCCAACCGTTTTCTGCAAAACGTAGAGAGATAACGAAAATAAGCTCAGATTCGTGCTTCTGAGGAACTTTCCGATAAGAATGAGCTTTTTTCTGAAATTAATTAGGTAAATTTTAATTGTGAGTAAAAACGGTGGCGGCGCCGAGTTTATATAAAATTTTGAAGTATTTGAAAGAATTATTTCTAGGGTTTTTGATGTTTTCTTTGTGAAAGAATTTAAAAAAATCTTGTTCCCCTGGTGGTGTTTGTTTGAAAGAATCTCGGAAGTCCCTGGTTTGTTGTTTTCTAAAGAATTTAAAAGAATCTCGAGATTATATTTTTTTTTGAAGAATTTGAAAGAATCTTGGACCCCTAGTTTCTTGTTTTTGAAAGAATTTAAATTAATATCCAGAACCTCGGTTGTTTTAAGAATGTGGAAGGATCTCGGGATCCTTTGGTGTCGTGTTTTTAAAAGAATTTAGAAGAATCTCGAGAACTGTCAATGTTTTGTTTTTTGAAGAATTTGAAAGAATCTCGGGTGTTTCTGATGGTTTTTTGAAGAATTTGAAAGAATTTCGGGGCCCGTGGGGCCTTGTTTTTGAAAGAATTTAAAAGAATTTCGAGAATTCTTAGTGTTTTTAATATTAAAAATAAAGTTGAAGTATTTGAAAATACTTCCTTTTTGGTGTTCTGATTGTGAAAAATTTTGAAAAAATCTCGAGAAGATCTGTTGTCTTTTTTTGAAGAATTTGAAAAAAATTCAAGTGTTTCTAGTGTTTTTTGTTTTTGAGAAAATTCGGGAAAATCTCGAGAATTCCTGATATTTTTTTAAGAATTTGAAAGTCTCAAGTTTCCCCAGCGTTTTGTCTTGAAGATCCTAAAAGAATCCGAGGCTCCTAGTCTTTTATTTTTGATATAATATCGGGGCCCCGTGGTGTCTTGTTTTTGAAAAATTTCGAAAGAATCTTAGATGTCTGGTGTTTCTTTTTTGAAGAGTAAGTACTAGGCCCGCCCACCCGCCCTCTCTATTCTTAGAGGGCATCTCATTTGCCAAAATCAGTCTTACCTTAGCAAGTACTAGCCCCGCCCACCCACCCTCTCTTTTCTTAGAAGGAATGTCATTTGCCAAAATTAGTTTTATCTTAGCAGGTACCAAACCCACCCACCCGCCTTCTTTTGTCTTAGTAGTAAAAATGCGTTTTCACGTCATTCGTTCGTTTGAAATTTTGAATTCTGGTAATTTAGTCCTGTCAAAGCCTTGAAGACTATGAAAAGATTCATTTGGATTTTTTTAGAAATAAAGTACTCACAGGACTTCTGTAACGTCTTTTAGTTGTTGAACCTTGAAATTTGGGTAAAAAAATATTTCGAATTAATTTTTTAAACTCATGGGAATTTTTACGATGCTAAAAATGTCAAAAATCTGAGGACAAAAAACACAAGGACACACTTGACAATATCGTCAACTTTTTTTTACATTACGAAGATCTTGAAGGTTTTCAGAACATTGAAGTTACTTGTAATAACAACAATAATTCATTCATTCATTTCTCAACAAAACAATTGCTAAAAAAATATGGAATAATTAATAATTAAATAATTAACTATTATATATTATTATACTGGATGTCTGGAAAATGGCGGATTAACTTTTCAGTACCTACATTATGTACGGGGGTTTCGGGAGTTAGTCATCAGTATTTGTTAAGATAAAACTGATTTTGGCAATGACATATCCTCTAAGAAAAGAGAGGGTGGGTGGGCGGGGCTAGTATCTGATAAGATAAGACTGATTTTGGCAAATGAGATATTCTCTAAGAACAGAGAGGGTGGGTGGGCGGGGCTAGTAGCTGCTAAAATAAGACCGCTTTTGGCAAATGACATATTCTCATACTGAAACCTTTTACAAAAAATGATCAAAATTTGGAAACATTAAGAGCTTACTTATATGCACAAGGCAGGAATTTTGAACATCTTCTCTAGTGTCTAGTTGGTTATGCTTTAATGGATTTTTTTTTATTTAGTTGTCGTTTATAGTTTATAAATGTCTTATTAAATGTTTTTTTTTGGTTTATTTATCAATGAAAAATAACATTTTATCAATAATTTGCCAAAATTAGTCTTATCTTAGCAGCTGCTACTACCGCCCACCCACTCTCTCTTTTCTTAGAGGGTATAAGTTATGTTTTGCGAAAAATGGTGGAGGCGTCGGGATAATATGAAATAAAAATACATAAGAATTTTGT